CCAGGATCGCGCCCTGGGCCAAAGGCAGGCGCCAAACCGCTGCGCCACCCAGGGATCCCCCATCTCTTCTTTCTTTCGTTCTCCAATAAGCAGCCCAAGGAAGGTGTCAGGACAGATTCCAAATGGAGGACTGCGTAATAATACCGCTTGCAAAGTGCCTGTGTTGGGGTAGGCACTTTATACTGCCATGTGTAACCTTCACGGCCGTCTTGCAAGAGCGGGGTATTATTGAGGCCATTTTACAGGTAGAAAACTGAGTCTCAGCAACCAAGTGACAGAGCAGATCTGAATATGGGAATGTTGGAACTCAAAGCCTGTACTTTTTCATCACATCCTAAAACCTCTGTCAGTCTGTAAATAATTGGTTCTTGATTAATCAGTAACTTTGTATTCAGTCATTTAAAGCATTATTCCCATGAAAGTGCCTGTTCACAGACCTTTCTAGATTATTTCCATATCTGAATTTCAAACCAGGAACCAGGGTCTCACTGCTGAAGAATGCAAACAGAAAGAACTGTGACCGTCACACCTATTCATCTGCTTATTGAGCTTAATATTCATGCGTGTGATCTTCCTGCTTTCCCATTAGCCTCATTCTGAGCAGTGTGGCAACCTAATTTTATTAATTTGAATCAATTTTTGAAGTAAAAAGAATAATGAATTCCCACTGATTATCATCATCTCATCTAACAGACATTTTTTTCTCTACTTGTCCCCATGTTTTCAGTCTAGCTGTTAAATTTTACCCTGAACTTCGTTCGTAGCGCTCAGTGGATACTTGGCAGGATGATCGGATTTTTATGTTAGTCTGCTACTTGCCCCCATGTCTTCCTCTCACCAGAGTGTCCTTTAAAGTAACTGCTGTTTCACACAATTCTCATGGAATTTCAAACACTTAAAAATGAATCTTCAAAGGATCTTTCATAGATAAGTATCTAGAGCTACATATATCAGAATACTTGTCTGAAATTCTCTAACAGACACTTTAGTATGATTCCATATACCCAGAGGGCACATAACCAAACAGTGTTGATGATACTGGGAAAGAATTGTGAGCTTCTTGAATATACAAATTTATGTCTTTCAATTTGACGGAAGACTTAAATTTATAGATTCAGAAAACACGGTAAATATTCTGTGGTCCATATAGTGCCTTGGATGGCAGGGATGGGGTATTAGATGAGGAAGCAAGAGCTTTAGTTTGAATAAACACAGATTAACTGAAATGTCACATAGGAATAGGTTGTACTGTAAGGAGAAACTACTCTCTTCTCTAATCATGTTGAAGATGTTTCTAGATATATCCCAGAGATAAAAAGAGGAGTAAGACTAGAAATTACAGTGTCTGTCATTGCGATTCAGTGATTGAAATTTGCATGAATTGTTAGGTACTTTCTGTGTCCTGTGTCATTTTTCCTACACAGTACCGCTAAGAAACAGTTTGTATAACCCACTTCACTCTGGAGGAACTGGTTTGGAAAGTTCAGACTTGATTAGCTTGAGTGTTAACTGGAAGGCAGAAGTTAAGACAAGTGTAGTGAATAACTGAATTCAGGTCTGACTCCAGTGTCCTTTCTCTTGACCAGCATGTTCACTAAACCAATTTTTATGGCCTAGGATGAACAAAAACAGACCTAATTTACAATTCTTATAAAAGGAATAATACAAGTGACCTACGGGTGGAAGTCTTAGATCTTGCATCTTTTCGATGGCCTTAAAGTTTTGAGAAGTACTGGTCAGGTTTTTTGTAAGATGTCCCCCATCTGGGATGGGTCTAATGTTTTTCTCAAGATTAGCCTGGGGTTAAAGGTTTGGGGAACAAACCCCACAAAGGTGAAGTGTCATTTTCATCACATTATGTCAAGGATCCATATTGTCCACAGGACTCAGTGCAGCTGATGTTGCCTTGGTAACCTGGCTCAAGTCATATTTGTCAGGTTTCCTCACTTTTTTCCCCCCACGAAGGATCGAATACCTGCATAAATTATTTTTATTTATATTTTTTCTCTTCTCTCCAACTTATTATTTCAATCATTTATTTATGTTAGTGTGGACTTATGGGTGTTTATACATTGTATACAGTGGGTTAAAATTCAGTAATGCTTATTCTTTTTACTCAAGTTGTTTTAGCTTTGGTGGTTACTGGGTGTTCTTTGAGTTGGCTCCCCTGCTCCTTCCACATACCCTCAAAATTTTTTTTATTGGTTATTTTACATTTATTTATCTATTTTTGAGCACTTCCTTACTTGCTGCTCTATAAGTTGCCCTAGCATCATCTTGCAGACTTCCTGCTCTAGTCCTGGACACTGCCATTTCTCCGAGGAGCCTTGGTTCCTTTCATTGGAGGGTGGGAGAGACCAAGATCCGAATGCGGGTTCTGCTCCTTGCTCCTGGTATGTCCTCGCTTCTAGGCCCTGTCAGCTAACAGAGTGAGGAAGCATATATATGCTGCTAAGCCATATCTGCACATGTTTCTGTGTGTGACCGCCTGTACCCAGAGTAAATGGATCAAGAGTTCATACTGATGTCTCCGATTCCAATCCATGACCATAGTGTTCATTCTAGCCTCTTCCCCTCACTTATCTGTAACCGTCACTCCAACACCATCCATTTAATTGCTTGATTCCAGGGTACGTATAGAGTGTATCAGAATCATTACGTGTACCTGCATCCCTCCTCATGAGAAGTAAGCGTATCACCTAGAGCAGTACTTATGTGCCATTCTTTTGCCTTTAGCCTTACAAGCTTCACTCTTTTCTAAATTTATTTTACCTCTCAACTTCATAAAGGTGTTGTATATGTTTTTCATACAGGTAAAATGTTTTGTCACATTTAGCATTCCATCTTAGAAGCCCTCAATTTCCTAAATTATATATATATATATATATATATATATATATATGTATTTTTTTTTTAGTTTGCATACATTAAAGTTCACTCTTTGTGCTGCAAGTTCTGTGGGTGTTGACAAATGCTTTGTGTCACATATCCACCATTTCAGCAACCTGCAGAATAGTTTTGTTCCCCTCCCATGTTCCCATGGCTTTACCTGTTCACTCCTCCCCTCAACCTGTGTCAACCATGCGTTCTTTTTGTTTTTTTAACTCATCACTAGTTCTAGTTTTTTTCTTTCCCAGTACGTCCTATAATTGGAGTCATACAGTGTGTAGACTTTTGAGATTGGCTTCTTTCACTTAGAAACATACATTTAGGTTCATCCATGTCTTTTCCTGGTTTATGAGCTCATTTCTCTTCATTGCCAAATATTATTCCATTATATGCATGCACCCCAGCCTGCTTACCCATTCATCCCTTAAAGATATCGATATATTGGTGGTTTTAGGCACGGTGCATAAAGTTTCAACAAACTTTCGTGTGCAAGTAAGTTTTTGAATCATGTGAGTAAATACCTACGAATACAGTTGCTGGGTTGGATGATAATATCGTGGTTGGCTTTGTAAGAAAGTGCCAATCTGTCCTCCTAAGGGACTGTACTCTTTTGCATGCCCACTGGCAACGAATGAGAGCACCTTGTTCTTCACATCCTTGCCATCAATTGGTATATTCAGTTTCTTTTGATTTTAGTTATTCTAATAGATTATAATTTACAATTTCTTTTGATTTAGTTATTCTAATATAATTTAATTTGCAATTCCCTAATGACAAATGATATAGAACATTTTTTCCTTAGGTTATTTGCCATTCTGTATAGCTTCTCCAGTGAGCGGTCTGTTCCTTTGCCCATTTTTTAACTGGATTTTCTTATTGTTGAGTTTTAAAAGTTCTTTGTATATTTTGGATACAAGTTTTTTTTTTTTATCAGATATATGTTTTGCAAGTATTTTCTCCTTTTATGTAACCTGTCTCTTCATCTTTTAACAGTGTCCTTCTCAGAGAAGTCTTTAATTTTAAGAAAGTCCAGCCTACCAAGTTTTAGCTCATGGATTACGTTTTATATGTTGTATCTAAAAACTCATCATCAGAGCAGCCCAGGTGGCTCAGTGGTTTAGCGCCGCCTTCAGCCCAGGGCCTGATCCTGGAGACCCGGGATCGATTCCCACGTCAGGCTCCCTGCATGGAGCCTGCTTCTCCCTCTGCCTGTGTCTCTGCCTCTCTCTCTCTCTCTCTGTATCTCTCATGAATAAATAAATACAATCTTAAAAAAAAAAAAAAAAACCTCATCATCAAACCAAAGTCACACCGATTTCTTGATTTCTTCTATAAGTTTTATATTTTATATTAAGTCTAAAATCCATTTTTAGTTAACTTTTGTGAAAGATATGTCTAGGTTCTTTTCTGTTTCCTTTTTTTTTTTTTTCTTTTTGTGGCACACATAGAAGTCTGTTTGTTCCAGCACTATTTCACTGAATTGTCTTTGCTTCATTGTCAGTAGTCCCTTGACTACATTTCTATGGATCAATTTCAGGGCTCTCTCTTTTGTTCTACTTTTCTGCGTGTATATTTTTTCCATCAATACTTATTACCTTGATTACTGTAGCTTCATAATAAGTCAGATGCTGTGAGTCATCTAGAATTTTCTTCTTCAGTATTAAGTTGTCTGTTCTGGCTCTTTTGCCTTTCTATATACGCTCTAGAATACGTTTGTCAGTCTACAAAGTATTTCTCTGGGATTTTGATTGGGATTATATTGAGTCTGTAGGTCAAGATGAGAAGAATTGGCAACTGAACAATATTGACTGTAATAATCATTAAGCATGGGATATTTCTCCTATGATTTATTTCATCAGAGTTTTATGGTTTTCTACATAGAATAGTTAGTTGTACAGTTAGATTTTGTTAGATTTGTACCAAAACATTTCATTTCTTTCCTTGCTTTAATAAATGTTATCATTACTTTGTATTTTTAATTTTTTTATTGTGTATTTTTTTAAAGACTTATTTTTTTTCTACAGCAATTTTAGGTTCACAACAAAATGGAGAGGAAGGTACAGAGATTTCCCAAAGGCCCCTTGCCCCTCCACCCCCACCGACATGCATAGGGAAATATGAAATACTTCACAAATTGATATGTTGTCCTTGAGCAGAGACTCTGCTAATCTTCTCGGTATTATTACAATTTTAGTATATATCTTGCCAAAACAAATACTGTTAAATTATCTTTTAATTTCAAATTTTAGTTGTCCATTGCTGTTGTATGATATATATTGTTGAGTTATTGTCTGTATTCTGAGACCTTGGTTTGTGCAATAAGATCTAGGAGTTTTTATTTGTTTGCTTGCTTTGTTTTATTTTGTTATGATTAATTCTTTGGGAATTTTTACATGGAAATGATGTCACCTGTAAATAAAATTTTATTTTTTCTTCCACAGTCTTATGAGTTTTATTCCCTTTTCTTACTGAATTAGGACTTCCAGTAAAATTTGAATAGGAGTAGTAAGAATGGCCATCCTTGCCTTATTTCCAGTCATAAGGGGGAAGCATCCAGTTTCTTACCTTTCAGTATGATAGTAGTTGTAGATTTTTGTAAATCTTTGTTTCAACTTGGAGATATTTTCCTCTATTCCTGCATTGTTGAGAATTTTTATTATGAATGATGTTGCATTTTTGTTAGATGTTTTTTTCTGCTTTTTATGATTGTATGATTTTTTTTCCCCTAAGCCTGTTGATGTGGTAGGTCACATTTGTTTGCTAATGTTGAACCAGCCTTACATACCTGGAATAAATCCCATTTGGTCATGGTATATACCTTTTAAATATATTGTTGGATTTAATTTGCTACTATTATTGAGGAATCGTACACCTTTGTTCTTGGAAAGATGTGGATTTTGTTTTGTTTTGTTTTGTTTCATTTCATAATGTCTTTAGTTATTAGGAGGCCTCATCCTTTTTCCCCTTTGGATGACATGTCCCTTCCTGGGGAGGTCAGATATCAGCTAGGCCAGTCCCTTGGCATCTTCCCTAGACTAATATATAAAAGAATTGACCAGTGAAACCATCTGGGCTTGGTGCTTTTCTTTTCTTTTTTCCTTTCTTTCTTTTTTTTTTTTTTTAATAGAGGGGTGGAGGGGGGCAGAGTGGGAGGCAGAACCTTAAGCAGGCTCCATGGCCAGTATGGAGCCTGATGTGGGGCTTGATCTTACAACCCCAATATCATGACCTGAGCTGAAATCAAGAGTCGGGTTCATAACTGACTGAGCTACCTAGGGACCCTGGTGCTTTTTTGTTTTGAAAGGTTAGTAATTACTTTTTCACTGAAGTTCTTTAATAGAGAGAACTTTATTCCAGTTGCTTAATTCCACATTTGTGGGGTTTGGGTTTGGTCATTTGTATATTTCAAGGAATTAGTGAAATTCATCTAAGTTAACAAATTTATAGGCCTTGAGTTTGTAATCTTCCTTTATATCCTTTAATGCCCTTTTAGTCAGTAGTGAGGACCCCAATTTCATTTCTGATATTGTTTATTTTTCTTGTTTAGCATATTGAGATGTTTATCAATTATATTGATCCATTCAAAGAAACAGCTTTTGGTTTTGATAATTTTCTCTGTTTTTAGCTAGGTATTTGTTATCCCAATCAAACTGAAGAAGACATGTAGGCATCCACATTATCTGTGACAGTTCTCCTTATTTGGGGGATGTTGTGGCAGGTGGATCACGCCAAATCTTTATTCTGTGGTGTAGCTGCATTTTTCCATCTTCATTTCTTCAAAAGCCTTGCACATTTTCTCAAGTTTTTGCTTATGTTGAGCTCTTCTTGATACAGCCTTTCTTCCTTCCTCTCTGACTTGATATCTTATATTTTATGTTAGAAATACATAAATATGCTGAATTCTACTTCAGAAAGTATCTGTGTTTATTTAACTTAAGAATGGTATTTTAAATTACTAAATGTTCAGTACATTATTTGTGAAGGTACATTTAATTTTCTCTTTCATGGAACTCTGATGTATGCTTTGGTCCCTAGCTTTGCTAGTCGTGTGTCCTCGGTTTGAAGATCTCTGTAGCCTCAGTTTCCTTGTCCACAGACAAGCAGATACAGCCCACTTCATAGTGCTGGCATGAAGGTTGGTTGTGAGCCTGACCTGGCATCACAGAGAGATCCTCAGTAGGTGTAGCCTTCCCACATGTCATAGCTTCCTACTCTGTCTTAGCCAGAAATTGAGTCTTGGGGTTTCTTTGTTGTTATTTTATTTATTGCTGCTGGATAAGCCACCGAAATGACTTAACTTCTTTTTGCTATGTAGTTGTTTCTCACTTGCTTTAGTTTTCACTTTGCATATGATTTCCTTATTTCTCTTTACAGAAATATGGAACGTTGATTTTTCTGAAATATAAATTCATGTGAACCATGGAATGGTAGAGAATATGATGAATATTGCTAACTTGACCTTCTTGCTTGCAGGGGAAGGGGAGGAGTCACCACCCGGCCAGTTGGAGTTGGTGTACCACGAGGGACGCCAGCTTCCAGGGGAGTCCTTTCCACCCGAGGGCCAGTGAGTCGGGGAAGAGGACTTCTCACTCCCAGAGCAAGAGGAGTTCCCCCAACTGGCTACAGACCTCCACCACCACCCCCAACACAAGAGACCTATGGAGATTATGTAAGTCAAGTCAGGTCACACAGCAGCTGTGCTGATCTGATCGAGCCAGTCCATACATACATAGCATTGGACGTTGTAACCAAGTACCTGCCCTTACTTGCTGTTATTCTCAAATATTCCACCTTAGTTCAGGAAACATTTATTGAGTGCTAAATAAGGTGTGATATGAGAAGTATAAAAAATGAGAAAGAAATAGCCTCTTTCATCAAGTAGCTTACATCTAAGATAGGGAAGATGCATTTGGGTGGTGGGAGGTTCGAGCCCAGGATCAAGGAGACATATTATCAAGCTCTAACAGGTTTTAATGTAGCATTCGTTCATGTTCCACTCCAGGTTGCCTCTGAGTAATTCAGTCATTTAAAAAAGAATCACCTACAGATACCAAGTTGTTTTTACCCTGAAGTGTTTTCCTCTTAAGTGCTGCTGCTGAATGTGGATTCTTAGTTGAATTTTTTTCAGTGAAGAAAAAAGTTCCCAGTTTTTTATGTTAATGCAAATCAGTCAGTTTCCATTTACCATTCAATAAGTCTTTGATACAGTTCATAGACTTAACTGAACGTAAGAGAAAGAAAATATATCCGTGGAAACTGGGTGGAGGGAAAGGGCAGAGGAGTTCTTGAACAAGCATACAAGCCCCCTGGGATTCTTCCTGTGACTTTTGAATTTAACATAAATAAAGAAAATAAGTGCTGGGTAGATGTTTCATATTAGTGATAGAAAGTCTTAAAGAAACCGTACATGAACTGTTGTCAGAGGGAAGCAGTGATGGGCTGAAGTGCAAGTTCTGATGGGTTTTCATGTTTCATGTTGGGGAGATCTCTTGCTGAGTGCTTGGTGCCTCTCTGCGTGGTGTCTGGAAGGCTGCCTTCATTCTCTGGGCTGCAGAGAACGTTGTCTTCAGCAGCAGCCACTGGAAAGATCAAAGTTTTTGTACTGGACCTTGTGTAATTCCCTGAGTATGCTGTGTCCTCTCGGGCTTCCAGACCTTTGTTTTTGCTGCTCTCTCTGCCCAGAGTCTCACCTCATACACTTCCTGTTTGTCCTTGTCCACCTGGGTCAGCTATCCCTAGGGAAACTCAGAGGAGGTAGAGCTGCCATATTGAGCACTGCTATTGAGCAGTGCCATATTGAGCACTGAGTCCCATGTCTCTCTCCCACCTACACTGGGACTCCTGGAGGGGCAAGGATGGTTAGCTTCCCTCTCTCAATGAATGGCAGAGAATGGATCCCGGGAACCAAGTAAATAACTAAATCCCGTAATACTTTCACATTTTTCTATTCAGCTGAGGAAAGATGTGGCCTCTATCCCCTCTCCTTGTTTTTCATACGGTCTGACATGTTCCTATGTTCTAATATTTTGACCAAGCTGACAATAATAATCATGCCTCATGCTCTTCCACAAATGCAGAGTCTCTTGAGGATAGCAGAGGCTGCAAAGGGAAGAAAGAGCTGTTCAGTTTCTTCCAGATAGGCCCCATGCCTGCTGTTTTCCAGCTGGGCTTACTTTGAGTTCTCTTAGGTTTGGATTAATGTAGGTCTGGCTAGATGGCATTGCCGTAACTGTCAAGCAGAGTGTGTGGAAAAGCCGGATCCTCGGCCCTACTACACCATCAGTATGGTAACAAGTCACATGAAGTGCTTGTCTGGCTTCACTGTCACATTTCAGAAAGAGCAGTTGCAGTTACCTTCTCTCCATACATTAATTCACCTTTCCATTCAACAAGATGGATTGAATTCCCACTGTGTGAAAAATACACACGTGTCCTCTCTCGCTAGGTGTACACTAGTGAGTCTAGGATGAAATTAGGTGAATACAAATAAACATTTCCTGGAAGGTTCAAGTCCAGGGGAGGAAAGAGGGGAGAAATTTAAGATGTTGTTGTTGTTGTTGTTTTAATCTATTTGTAGCTCTGCTTTTTAGTGATAAATGATGGGAAAGGCATTAAAGCAATTGATTTGGAAAGAATTCTGTTGAGTTAATTTACTTGCCCTTCCACCGTCTACCATGGAAAATGGGCAGCAGCCATGCAAGCTGTAGCAGTAGGGCTTTTATGAGATGATGGGTGGTGTACTGGAATGAGATTGGTTAGCATGTAAATGTTTGGGTACACATATAGAAAGGGATAACTAATGATATGGTACAAACGGTATAGGTGGACGAACTGGAATTAAGGGGGTTTAAGAGTAAGGAAAAAATGATGGGGTAAGTAATGGTTTAATACGAAGGGGGTTGAATTGAAATATGGGGGTGGGTAAAAAGGGGGAAAAAGAAGGATGTGAGGGAAATGGGATATAAGGTGATAAGGGATGATGTGGTTGAAATAAGTATGTGGTGGGAAGTTTGGGGGATTGGGGTAATAGAGGTAGGGTGAATAGGGGAAAGGGATGAAGAAGTATTTGGAGAAGATAAAGATGGTAAGAGGAAATGTAGTTGAAAATATAAGGAGAGGAGAATATAGATGGAAGGTTATTTTTGGGATAGTTGAGTGGTGTGTGAAAGAAGGATGGAGGTATGTGTTTTTGAATGTGGGGGAAATGTGTGGGGGGGTGGGGTGAATTGAGTTAGGGGGGTAATTGTTTGGTAAAATTAGGTAATAATGAGTTAAAGAGAAAAATAAGGAATTAATAATGTGATTTATATGGGGTATTATTTGGATTTTGTACATTCATATAACAACTCCTGCACACATGACTGCTTTCTGAGTGTGCTCTAGGTGGTAGAGTAGGACACAAAAGGAATATGGTTGACTCTTAAACTACACGAGTTCAAACTGCATGGCTCCACCTGTATGGATTTTTCTGATAATAGTACAGTACTATACATGTATTTTGTCTTCCTTAGGATTGTCTTAAGATTTTTTTTTAAGATTTTATTTTTTTTATTCGTGAGAAACACAGAGAGGAGAGAGAGAGAGAGAGAGAGAGAGAGAGAGAGAGAGAGAGAGGCAGAGACACAGGCAGAGGGAGAAGCAGGCTCCATGCAGGAAGCTCGACGTGGGACTCAATCCTGGGTCCCCAGGATCACACCCTGGGCCAAAGGCAGGTGCTAAACCGCTGAGCCACCCGGGCTGCCCAAGATTTTCTTTTCTCTGGGTTATCTTATTATAAGAGGATAATATATAATACATATAACATATAAAACGTGTTAATCAACTATGTTATTGGTAAGACTTCTGGTCAGCAAGAGGCCGTTTATTAGTAGTTAGGCTTTTGGGTAGTCAAATGTTATATGCAGATTTTCAACTGCATGGGATTGACTGCTCCTACTCCTGCACTGTTCAGTGGTCACTCTTCCCCAAGTTGAATTCTTGTCACAAAGCGTTTGGATTATGTGCTATACCTTTCCCTCTTGATTTGTATCTGTTACACCTAGAAAGATTGTTTAAAACTAATAGCCAAGAACAAGGTTTTTCCCCACTTTACCTAGCATTTTGCAAGCCCTCTACAGTGTTATAGTGAACGCTTCATGTAGCTGAACACTATATATAGCAAACAGTGTTGGGAACTAGTGTGAGGAGGAGACACAGTACCCCCCAACTTGCCTCAGTAGCTCTGCCTCGCAGGTGTGCTCTTTTGACCTCACCTTCATTTCCTGACCCAATTTCAATTTAATTTTTTACTTCCAGCCCTTCTAAATATAACTTTGCAGTGCCTGGCATATTTCCAGACATTGGCCATTAGTCCCTAACTGTTTGAAATCCTGAAGATTATTCACACAATCTGCTTAGCTTTGGAGCACGGGAAGGGGAAAACCCAAACTTAAAAGAAACTTTTAAAAATGTGTTGTCTTGTAGGACATTAGATTAGGTGGGTGTACTGAAAGATTTCCAACTTAGAAAGCCTGGGATCTTGTAACCCCTACAAAATAGTTATCTATTCATGTGGCAAGTGAGAAAGTGGAAGTTGATCTTTAAAATAATTATCCCATTGAACCAGAATGATCATATAGCAGTTTCTAAACTCCTTGAGGATATCAATCGCTTGCTTGCCATCTACCTCTATATTCCTGGCACCTACTATAACATCTGGCACATAGAAGGTTTTTAATAAGTGTTTGGTGAATGAATGAATGAATGAATGAATGTTCTCAATACTGAGTTTGGAAAAACTGCCATGTGTGGAGAACCCACCCCAGATGTCTCCCGTGTGGTTTTCATTTTTACTCATTTAGCAGTTTATGTATAAGTTAATTATGAGCATATAACTGTATAGTGCAATCATTAATATACATCTGTTTCTCACAAGATTATAAACTTCTAGGGAAAAACACTGTATCTCTAGCCAGTAGCATCATTTCTGGCACATTATATGCATTTAGTAAATCTTCACTGGATTAGAGACCTGGTAAGTTTTCCTAATGAAAACGTCCCAAGTCATTACTGTAACCATCCGGTGGGAAGCAAGCAGTATGATAGTTGGCATTTGAAAAAAACATCTTGCCTTAGTTATCCTTGTCTTCTCATGTTCAAAGGGCAGTTACAGGTTATAAAGAGATCAGACTAGTTCCGTGTAGCTCCTGAAAGTAGTAGAGCAATGTAAATCTCATCTCAGTATAAGAACGAACTTTCCAGAATGATGTACTATTTAATGAGAAACTACTCTCCATGAGGCAGTTTGATATATGTTCTCTCGTGTTCTTCTCGTAGCCACTCAGTGAGATGTTATGATCCTATCATACAAATGAGAATTGAAGGCTGGGACAGTTAAGTGTCTTGCCTAAAGTCACGTGGCTGATGAAGAAGCAGCAGATGTGGGATTCAGAATTCAAGGCCTGTATTCTATCTTGAGCAGTCAGGGCTTTATTAAAAACTGTGCTCTAGTGGCTGAGATTATAGGCTCATCTCATGTTTGGAGAAAAATGCAGTGGGTACCACATGTTGCCCTCCTCAGGAGCGTGAGAGGGGTGACCAGAAATTGCATTAGATGACCCCTGTGGTCCCTTGTCCTGTAATCATCCACTTGTTTTAAGCTAGATAAATGGAAATTGAGAATAATTAGGA